AATGCGTGTCCGTGAATAATAAGTGGGTGGGTGGATGTAAAAAAGAAATCAGGTCAGAGCCTCGTTGTTGCACATCGATACCTTTTTCTGTATTTTTTTTTTTTCACGCGCGCCAACATCGGAGAAAAAAGGAGGACTGATCGTCACGGAACGCACGGCACGTAATAAATGTCTCACTATATAAATTAGCCGTCACACTCTTCGCCTGAATTATGCTGACAGTCTGAGTTTATTTTACTGTCGCAACAAATCTGACTTCTTATCTGACTCCGTCCGTTTGCTTCTTCGATTACTGCAGTTTTAGATTGGCATCTTCAATTTGATTTCGCGTCTTTTATTGGAATTTTTTACTTTGACATGCCTAAAAAAAATCATGATCCAATTAAAAGAATCCAATTCGCTGAGCACAGTCGTATTAAATTGATAAATACACATGTGACACAAAGAAAGATGTTGTTATTTGTAAAAAGTTCGATTCCAGAAGATTTATAAGATCTCATTGCATTATTAAATTAATAATGTACCCAATGCAAACAAACGCACCGTATTTTATTTGCGGACATCTCGATTTTCGTAAAATTAGGTATATATCCTCCCTTCTTTTACTCCTTCAATTATACTCGAATTCGCACCCTTCGGCTTTTTGCTCGAGCAAACAAGCTCCTAAAAGAGGACAGTCGAACTGATTGATCATATATATACGTATCTCGTTCGCGTTTGTGCAGCACTCGGCCGTAAGTCGCGACCACGCTTCTAACCCAGTTTTGCGTATCAATAGGCAGCGATCTGAGTGCCACGAGGAACGGGAGAGGAAAGGGAGAAAAATAGGGCGGTGGCAGAGGGAGCGGGGGGGGGGGAACGAGAGTGAAAAATCGAAATGACACAGTAAAAGCACCGCTAATACTCTTTCACATTAACACTCGACGTAAAGTATGCTCTCGGTGTAAAAAGCCCCCTGATCGATGAAGCCCGGCGATTGGCTCGCTCGCCGAGCTGGATTGAAATCAACCCCCGGGACGGTCGGGCGAGGGTTGCCCGACACGCGACTACCCCATTGGTCGGCCGACGGCACCACCCCTCGGCAACTTGCCCCGGTAACGTTACCAGTCGCACGGAGTCTCGCGAGCGAGGGATATCCTTCGTAAGATCGCTCAAAGTGGCGAGATTTTGCTAGACTTTGCGAATGCTAGACGAAGTGTGAACTTTTACATATGTAAAAATTTAAGACTCGTTTTGACAGTGAAGAAGTACAGCTTTAATTATTTTATGCATTTTATGAATCAGTTAGCGAACGCTCTGTTAAAGTTACATCGCTCTAGTTATATTTTGGAAAGAAAGATTATATCAAGATTATTCTATTAAAAAATATTAAACTTTTTTAATAGTAAAGAATTCTTGTATTCGCTGATATACTTTGTAAATAGTCGCAATAAAATCAGTTTATCTCTTGAAAGATTGCAGATACTTTTTGCTTTTTTTATAATCGTTGAAAATGGATCATTTTACAAATTTAAAAATTGTCAGATCAACTTTAACAAATTACTCGTAGTTTAAATAAAGTAAAACGAATTTCCATCGGACCTGCATTATCGTCTCTCTCGGCATTGTTTTAATTTTTCAAATAAGTGACACTTCTAAAGACGATAACAACAACAAAGAAGAAACTAACAACGTTCTCCCATTCTGCGCTTCTTCCGCGGGAAACCTTCCCTAAGTTACCGCCGGGTGTCGATAGCAGGGTGGGATACGCGACGAGCTGGGGGGATGAACGAGAAATCCCCGCCTCCACGTAGAACCCGCCCTGCGCTTTGAGGGTGCTTGACAAGCGAAACTGCTCGAGGTAGGGAACACTAGCCGTCAAGTGCTCGTCGAGGACACTCAAAAACTACAAGGAGAGTCCTTCAACCGCACCGAAAAAGGAATCGGTAGCCTGCTTGCCGTGCCACTCGGACAGAGCCGCCTTTCCTGCAAGCCGTTAACAGTTTTTTGTGATAGTGACCGACAGTTGCGAGTGTCTCGAGAAAACGGCACGGGAATCGGTGATTGGATTAATCGTACTAATTATTCACGTGCTAGACTTACGTTCCGCATATCCGAGCTGTCGTTGTGTAACAAATCAAAGTTATTTACGACAAAAAGAGATTTATGACAGTGTATTGTGTGACAAGGGCAAGAAAAAGTGAAGAAGACAGAAGAACTGAAAATATCATGGGCAGAGTGGCAATCGTGGAAAAATTGAAGAGACAAAAATGATTACTAAAGAGAAGTTACACAAGCCGATCGAAATAAAGAAATCTACTGTAAGAAAGATATAATATATACGAAGTAAGAACAAGTAAATTACAAATTTAAAAATTTATACGCGTGCTGGAACGCGTGGTGAAAGACAAAAGACAGAAATTTCATCCGTATTATGCAACGCGAGTGAAGGTGAAGGAAGAGAAATGAAGTAAAAAAAAGAGACAGAGAAAGAGAGAAAGAAGAGATTCTCTAAATTATTAACAAAAGAAAACTTAATTTCAATTTTTAATATTATTGAGCAGTTGCGAGAGAGGAAAGAAAACAAGAGTTGGACAGAAAATCGAAAACATAATGAATTAAGAGAGATTTTTTAAAACCTATAGATGTGCCGTAGTTAAAAAGGTGTAACATGTATCGACACTAATGAAAACAAATCGAAATCTTGGAAATCATCTCAAAATGGCAGATAAGAACAAGCTTCTACCCTGGTTACTACCGTATCCGGCTAGTTTTTTTAATCACGTCTGGTACAGTCAGCTCGCATTAAACACTAGGTAAATAAAATAAATAAAAAATTTGTATATCTTCCTTCCTGTAAGTTTCTTTTCCCTTTTTTATTTCTTTCTGAAATTATTTATCTTAGGAAAGATAAGAGAAGAACCGATGTGTGTGTGCGCGTATCAGATATATTAAATCATCACGAGTAATAACTAATTCCTCCGTACAATCGATTGTAAGAACACGCTATTATACATAGTTATTAAATTTCAATAATGTATAATAAGTAGTCTCAAGTGTCCGATAAATAAATTGAAAAGCTCGGGCTTGTCAATCGTGATGTCATTGCGCGACGGGTTTCTCTCGAGTTCTTATACGTCCTTATACGGACCGCCTCCCTCGAGTTCTTATACGTGGCTTCATTAAGATATATCGCGTATTATCGTGCGATATCGCTAAATATCCGGACGGCTATCGATATCCTTGATGCTCACTGAAACACGCATCAGTTATCGATTAAACCTGACACGCGACATCGAAAAATCACCACTAAATGCTCTATGTTTACATGACAAGACGTATATTAAGCTCTCGACGATGTTAAAATGTTAACAAATAATATTATGTGAATATTCATAAACATAAAAGAATCAGAATTATATTATATGATTCTTTCATTATATAATAATATTTGCAAATTTTTAATTTTCTTTATCTGTCCTTTAAGATTCATTCGTTTAATCAAATGTTTTCTTATCCGAATGCTGCTTAGCAATACCTATAATATTATTAAGATAATCAGATTACAATCTAAGAAACAAAAATAAACACACTTTTATATTACAAAGCATTTTAGATTCAATTATATATTTTACATATTTTAATATTAGCAGTTAGAGAAATTTGACTGGTGGATAGAATTTATAATTTTTGTCTTATTACAATCGTAAAAGATATCAATAAATTTCATGTATTCTTTTCTTTTTAAGAATATATCGACTGATTATTTGAAACGATTTTTATTTTCCTGAATTATTTCGACTAGTTCGAATAATCCTATTGTAAAAGAGTAACGAAAACTGAGTTCGTACAATGTATAACAATTTTTTGTTGACAAAATTAAAGTGTAAAAATCGTCATAATTACAGAAGATTGAAATCGCGGGCGATTTCAATGCTAGCACTTTCAAATAATTATCGGCTTTTTATAAGAAGCCGATTAATATATGGCAGCTTTATCTCTTTAACATTTTAATTTAATTCTTATATAATCAAGATTGCACGATAAAATAAATGGATAACTTGGATTTATGGAAGTATCCATGCGTCTATAAAATTTAAGTTAAATAAAAACATCGTATCGACATTTGTTAAAACTGTGTGTGTTTGTAACTAAGAACTAAAACAAAATCCGAATAAAAAAATTATATGACAATACAATTATCGTAACGCTTCGCAAACTTCTTATATTCATTAGAATTTCCAAATGTCTGTAGCAGTCTATATAAAAGAATGTGAATTCGAGAAAAAGTTTATTCGAAAACATCCGCGCTTCGTTCCGGGGATATTTGTTTAACGTATGGCCGAACGTGACGCGATAATGGCTCGTACGGCTTAGCAAGCGGGCCCCAAAATTCACTTCTATACACAGGTCCGAGGACAGGTTGATTGTGTCAAACGCGCGCAGGTATTGTATCCTTAAAGACATTTCTCTAATCGTGTCTTGAAAGGACCGGTGGCTTTTTGACAATCGTCACACTCAGCTTCCGAGAGACCAACGACAGATCTCGAATATTAAATATTATCCGTCAAGGAGCGACCTTTGTGTTCTTCCGACTTTCCAACTTGCAAGATCCGTCCGCAAACACGCCCATCTTTGGCATCCATCCAAAACTTGCCGCAAATATATATGTACGGTTTATTAAAATAAAATAAATAAGAAGATATTAAATAATCGCTGCTAAAATATTATTGTAAGCTCTTAATACCCGAAGCAAATCAATTTATTCATTGCTTTATCTCGCCAGAAATTAAAAATTATCAATATCTGATAAACATGTGATATCAAGTGAACAAGATTGCATTAACACTTTACTAATTGATAGGTGCATAAATGTAAGATATGTACAACCAAATAATATTGCCGCTATCTTCACACATAAACTTATTTTCAATTTTTTCAACAAAAATTCTATTAAATAAAATTTCTTAATATTTCCTTGAGGCTAGAATTATAGCAGTTTTGTAATTTTTTTGTTACAGGTTACTGGAAAGTATGAAAATGCCAGCTAGAACGTCCGGTTTTGCAATCAGCGACATTTTGGAGTTAAACGATGCCAAACCGTCGCAAGAGGAACCAGATGTGCAAGGTAATGTCAAAATCAATTAGAATAACTAGATGTAATTAAATACTCTCTAAATTTTCTAGAGTTAATCTCACTCCAAAAGAGTGAAATCTCACTCCAAAAGAGCGAAAATACTGTCACTCGGCCACTTGAGTGGCAGTATTTTCACTCTTTAGAGTGAAATTTCACTCCAAAAAATTTAGAGAGTAGAAAAACATTTGGTACCATTAGTAATTAAACATAATTGAAAACACATATAACATTAATTTGTTGCAATTTAGAAGAGAGAACATTTACTTAAAATATGAGAGTCATTGTTATTTCAATTTATCTTGTTAATTAAATCAATCCGATTTTAAAATCAGGAAAATTTCGAGGCAAGACATTTCTCTGCTAAGCACTTTATAAATGTAGGAGAAGAAAATTAATAAATTTATTGGAATTTTATGTTCTAGGTACCACGACGGTTTTACCAACGGCCAACGACATGCCGTCGGCTTACCAGCAATTTCTGGAGCACACAACCGCCATGTTGCAGCCTATGCACGCTAATCTGAATAGGGGTACGCTACCACCGCCTCCACCTGGATTATTAGGATGGCCAACCGGACCGGCACTACCGGCAACGTTGCCTCAACCCTTGGAGGAGGTGAATGGTGAGCGGACAAATACAATTATCCTATATCTTTAGTCTACAAATCGGGGACGTACACAGTAGAAAAAGTTATTAGCGCCCCTCGCGTAATTTGCGAAAGCGCGCATTCAATTGTATCCAGAAATAACTGTTAACCTTTCAAAGAAGCGCGCGAAATAAATAAATTATTTTGACTGCATGATCAAATTCGTCACTTGCATCCTAAGAAAACGGAGTTGCGGTCGGTGAATCGATCACCGTTGCAGTTACCACCGTTTGAGACGCAAGTTTTCTCGCCCCCTTTTCCTTTCGCTGGTGCGCGCAGACAGAAAGGACGCACACGCGCTTTTGCGGGCGGAGGACGGGGGAAGGGGGCGCGAGATGGAGACCCTTATTTATTTAGCACCCTACAATTGGTCCGCGAGGGTTAAGCAGGATCTAATGGTTCTGTAAAAGGTCCTCGTGGATACCGCACAGCGATTGGTTCGCGATGGAGGACAGATGTTGAGCCGGGGACAGATGCGAAAGAAGGGGTCCCCGCGTGTCCCCGGGCCCCCCAATGAATCGGTATCGTCACGCCCAAAAAATTCGCCGGCGACCTATCCCGCGTTCCCTTCGCGTCTCCCTTTTTTTTCCTCGCGGCCCACGGTTTGCACGAGCGAAAAATCCAGGCAACGTGTCGAACCGTTGAGAAACGCATCACGCGCGAATAATTGCGGTCCTGTAGCAGGTAAAGAGGGGAGAAGCACGATTGAGTGGATCTCCTTTATATCGGACGTTTACATTGTTCGGTGGATAGCGCATTACACTGAATTCTCTCCGAAGCTGATTTGTAAAAAATTTAAAGTCACATACGGACTTCTTCGAAAATTGCAGCTCGAGCTAGACTTATGCTAAATTCCTTCGTCGTTTGCCGCATTAAATGTTTTATAACTAGAATTTCAAACAAAATATATGCAGATCCGTCTAATTCTATTTTCATATTAAGAAAGAGATTAGATTAAATCAATTGATCTGTTCTCGTCGCTAAAAGAGTTTAAATCCAAATAATCAGCAACTGTGTGTATATTTTAGATTTGTTCAAAGATAAAGTCGGGAGAAAGACTCATTTCTAATAAATAACTTGCCACTGTCAGATTTAAGAGAACGCGTGAGATCATCCCTTTCTCCGTCGCCGTCGCTTCCTTCGGAGACATTAGTCGGCGGCGAGTGTTTAATTGAAATCACAGTGCGACTGCGAGCACGGTCTAATCTCCCATGAAAATGATATGGTTGATCCCATGGGGTCCAAGCAAGGGTATCAAATAGGCTTTATATTGGTTCACACCCTCCCCAAGCGGGTTTCAGGGGTCGCTCACAAAAGCATATTGTACTACGGCGTAAAGCCAGTATCCCGGCGTTGTACACGAAATTAGCCGGTATCTCGGGCCAGGTCGTAACATTTACCCACACTTCGCTAAATGAAGTTATTGTACATGTATTTCTCGCGTAGCATAATTACCGCGTCAGCAAAATGACATGTGCCTCATCATCGTTTCATATTTTACGCATTGTTTAAATTTAATCCTTCATTACGTCGCGTTAAATTGAAAATTATAATAACAATTTGTACGTTCGACCGCCTCTATTTTCGTAACTAATTAAATAAATTCTCTCGTTATTTAGCGTCATGAAACAAAAGTTTTAATATTGAAATAGAAGACACATATTGAAACAAAGAGAAAAATTTTTTATCTGAAAACGCTTACACGTGAAGTTTAAACTAAACACAAACGGCTACGAGAGTTAATTCTCTAATGTGTGATTAGAAGAGCTATTAAAAAAATCAATGCAGGCCAACATCTGCCGGTAATCAGCACTAAGAGCAATCGACGGTGTCGGATGAATCGAAATGCAGCTGCAGTTCGTTAGCGTCAATCAAGTAATTGAGTCGGTGGATTAACTAAACACTATATACTTCTGCATCACTCTATCTAACTTATTTTGATGATAGTCTACACTCTACGTAAATATAATTCGAAAAGTGTATTTTATTATTAATTAAATTGATCTTGTTGTACAAGAATAATAAGAAAACTAACTTCTTTTTAGTCAACATTTAGTGTTACGTTAAAAATGTAATTTGTCTAGAAAGAGAATATTTCAAAAAAAATTGATATCAGCTGCGATCACACACAAAACAAAATTCTCTTAAAATACAAGAAAATTATCTTTATTTGTTTCTTCTTTGTGTTTCCAGTACTCCAACAACCGGACTCGACGAGCCCGGCGATCTCCGACATGTCGTTCCCGTCGCAGCAGGAGAACAGCCACGAGTCGTCGAAGGACGAGGAGTCGCAGGACTTCGAGGACGAGCAGCAGACCGGCAACGAGACGACGCAACCCCACGAGACCGAGCACAAGAAGCGCAAGCGGCGCGTGCTGTTCTCCAAGGCGCAGACTTACGAGCTGGAGCGACGCTTCCGTCAGCAGCGTTACCTCAGCGCGCCCGAGCGAGAGCACCTGGCCTCCATCATTCGCCTCACGCCGACCCAGGTGAAGATCTGGTTCCAGAATCACAGGTACAAGACGAAGAGGGCGGCGAGCGAGCGCGTCGAGGCCGGCGGCAGCGGCTGCTCGCCCAGAAGAGTCGCCGTGCCGGTGCTGGTGAGAGACGGCAAGCCCTGCCAGTCCAAGCTGATGGAGCCCACTGCTTATCCCGGAAGCGGACAGGTCCCCATGGCGCCGTACATGCAGAAATATTGGTGGTAAGATAACCGAATTAATGAAACTGGGATGAAACGTTTCGAAGCAATCCGTGGTGATTCACGCGTTGATCGATTATTGTATGCGAACGGCAATTTCACGATTAGAATATTGTCGCGACAAGAAGTTATAAAGATACGAGGGGATAGATAAAGAAGAAATTCAAGATGGAAAGTATGCGGATGATTTTATGACAGTTTAATATGTTGAAAGTGTTAGAAGATTCGTGATAATGAGGTACTCAGTATAGATTATGAAATCGGTATTATCGACGGTATCGTCGATAATAGAAAAATGAAAAAGGAATGAATTGGATAATAAGTGTCGGTTGAAAAAGATTGACGAACAAATCTTGAGATATTGATTTTTACGTCCGACTTTTAGTGCATAATCGGTGCATATCTAATCAGACTCTTGACGCAATGAACGTAATTACAGTCATAGACGTATAATGGAATGAAAAGCTAAATCATTTCTTGAGTTTGACGATGTGTTTTATCAACGAGTGTATTTCAAGACACGCATACACACAATCGGACTTCTCAAAGTAAAATTGGGTGAAGTGCGACGTTTTACGACAGTGTTTAACATGTGCGTCTAGTGCGAATACACGAAGCTGTGCTAAAATCGGTCAGTACATTCTTAGAAAAATATTTCGTCAAAATTGAATAAAGTTCAAAATATTAATTCTTTTTTAAATATAAATTTTTTTAACTTTTGCTTCCAATATCTGCGAACTTTTTTATGACGCTAAATAATGAAAGTGTTTTACGACAGTAATAGATATTTGCTTAAAATTGATGTACTTTCGTAAAGATTTTGTCATAATGAATATGCGCGAAAGTTTAGCGAACAAGACGGCAATTTCAAAAGTTTTTAGTAAAACCTTAGATAATTATGAATGGTTGCACTTCGCACATATGCAAAATATTAAAACAAAGAAATTATGATAAATTAATTGATCTATGTATGATCTACATTTCTGAAAGAATATTGGGATTTTAATATTTCTCAAGGTGATCTTCGCGACATATTAGTCACTTATATAAAATACAATAAATCCCGATAAAAAGTTTTTATATAAAATATATTGTATGTATGTAATTATGTATAAAGTATATATATTAAATAATATGTATAAAATATGTCCATATATGTCTCCTTTCTCTTGTATAATTTCTGTTCGTATATATAAAAAATAATAAAGAAAATAATTGAAAAATGGACATATTTGATACATAGATAATTTAATATATATATTTATATATATTCTTATATGAAAAGTTTTTACCGGGATAGCTTTAATATGTACACGAGCGTTTATTTCAAAAGACGAGATGCTGACATTGATATAATTCAAGAATTGACATAACTTTATCGTTAAAGGTACAAACAAGCGCGCGCGAAAGATTTAACGTCGCGACGCAAAGTAGTTTAACGAAGTTATGAAGATAATTAAAAAACGCAACTCGTAAATTCGTGAGCTCGTAATTCATTCGATGGAAAATAATTGAAATACAGGACTGCGACCACTTGAAAGTTTTTACAAGTGTTGATATTTATAAGGGAGTTAGAGACAGTTACGAATATTGTCAGAAACCAAAGATCGCGTCTAATGAGCTAGTTTGACGTGAATAGGTAAATAATTATAAATATAAGAGAGGAGAGAAAATGCGCGTAGAGAAATTTCATTAGACGATATCGATGTCGCATTCTTACGTAATAAGATATTTGTACAAACTGTTACACGTTATAATGACTCACGTATGTATGTAGATTTCAAATTAGCCCCTAAAGCGTGCGTCACAGAAAATAATATCGTAAGAAGTTCCAATTTAATCAGAAAATGCATAACGTCGTCTAACTTGACCGCATAACTGAGCATCCCCGCGCATGTAACGACTCTTTCGGAACGGCAACGAATCACACGAAAATGGATTACTGCCACAACGGATTGAATTCGTGGCTCAATTGCGATCCGCTAATTCGATCGTCAAAAAAATTTTTACGACGTAGGCATTTCTTCACACATTTACACACATAGCTAATGTAAACTGTGCACGTTTTTTCTTCATGTCGTAAAAGAATTCGCGACATATAATATTTGATAGATTCTCAAGAATTCTATACTTGCAAGATATAGTTGTATAATTTTTTTGTGACTCTATACTTTCTGATATTTTCATTTCTCATGGATTTTTGCAAAAAAAGAAAAGAAAACAGAGGCCAGTTTGGGAATACATTTAACGAATACGCAATTTGTACGAGTAGCGTACAACTGAGTGTCTTTATCGGAATAAATTCGGCTTTGTTAATAATTTCGTTATATACTTACAAATTTAAAGATACATATTAAAAATTTAATTAAAATGAGGAGAACTTACTAAACAAGAACAAAATTTTGTTGATATTAGAACATTATAAATCGTTATTTTCAATTTAAAATAATGCGTCTGTACTATACTGATGTAGTAATGTTCTCATGATTATTATAAGCTACGATAATCAGAGAATTATATGCGAGGTCTCAGCATTGCGAGTAATCGCAAAAATATCCCAATGTTTTGTCTTTACTTAATTACTTATAGGTAAATTGTATATATGTACATTGTGTATAATATATAGTAAACTAATATATCAGAAGCATATTTAATAAATCTAAATCTTAAGAAATCAAATTTTTGCTGTCAATTTTATCGCAAAAATCAATCCATATTTTCTCTTCACCCTCTCTCTCTCTTTCTCTTATCTTTCTTTTTCTCTTTTCCTCATTTTTTTAATTAGAAGAAGAAAATCAAAAAGTTTGAATTTCATTTCAACGTTGTCGTGTAAAAAATTATTTCTTAATAAATAATTCATATCACTCAATACAAGATTCTAATTAAAATGTATAATAATTACTTAGTTTTTGTGACGTTTTGATTAATACCAATATTTTATAAAAATTCTGTTGCAAAGTTTTCTCTGCATTATTTACAAATATAATTAATATAAAAGGCATAGCAGAGGATTGAAGATTTCACTTGAATTATAACTGATATCGTAGTGTTTCTCCTTTACTTTTACCAGGGAATATAATGAAACAATACATTTGAAACAATCCCGTCTTTTTCTCTGTCTCTTTCCCTTTTCTCGACCGTACCAGAACCGCTTCCCTTTTTTCAGGACACGCCGGAAGTCCGCGTAGCTTGAGTGACAAGCTTCCGGTTTCCGTTTCCGAGCAGCCATCTTGTTACCGGTTTAGATTTCCTGAGGGCGCCCCATCGAGTCTCGATGGGGATCACGTTTGACTTTTGCGACCCCCAGAAAAACTTTTCATTATTCGCATTATGACGCCACATACATGTACGCTCGATCGACAAGAAGCTGATAGAGGATTCAAATTTCTTATCTTATTTCCTTTTGTGATTAAAATAATCGATCCGCAATCACGATGTCTTATCCGATTATAGTCATGTAATAAAACGCGATCAATATCAACCAGTGGGGAATTTTATTAATCAGTCGCGTTTCACGAAAAACGATAATGTGTCAAAACAGGGATAATGATTGCCCGTATCTGTACGAATTATCAAGCAAAAGTCTGTCATCGAAAATTTTTATCTCCTGCAATCTGAATATATTTAATCATCTATTTATAGATGTACGTTCCACCTTTTTTATGATTTAAAGCTGCAATTTTTAATATTACAGAGAAAGTTAAAAATTAGTATCAAGCTCAATTTTATTGTTTTCTGATTTTCGATTTGATTCAACAAAACATACCTAAATTGCGAAAAAGCAGTTCTCAACCACGCTTATAATATGAGAACTATATTGATATCTCAATATTTTTAACAGGATAAAAAATTCAATTTCAAATTCAAAGAATCTACCATTAACATTAAAGGGGTCATCACGATCGTATATTATCGTGCAAGTACATGAATATATCTCGTATTATTATGCAAGTACGTGCGAGGCGCATAAATTAGGATGCACTTAGGAATATCTATCGCTGCTCCACTTCTCTCCTATAACTCGGGAGCGGGACGATACAAAGGGTTTCCTTGGCCCCTCCGCGTCCCCTTATCTCCCCGTCCCGCATCACGGCGGATGATGTAGCGAGGTAAATGGAGTGGACAGCGGGCAGCATATGCTTTGTGGCGATTTCTCCTGCTTGCTGTGTACAAAACGAAACTGTCCCCACACGTAGAATATTCCGCGCGCGGCGCGGCGCGGCGGCGTTGTGCGCGAAATGTCGGCGGTGCGCCGAACCGGAAGCGGGAGATAACATTCAACCAGCTACCGAGCCCAAGCCCCATGATTTATATGACCAGCCGTAATCTATAGATTTGGACATAGTCCACCGACTTTTACTCTACGTACCTACGACCCGCGGTCGGCAAGAAGCGTGCTTTACTGCGTGCCGCACATGCTTGATGCACAAAATCAAGATGATCTGACCAATTCTTTTAGTCGAATCTTATGAAAAAAAAATTTTTTTTATTCATTTCACCTGCAATTTTTAGCTCTTATATTTTTTAGAGTTCGAAAAGTATGCACAATGGCATATAAATGATCGTTAATTTACTCTATAAAAGTGAATCAGTGGAATCATCATTGATTTTCAGTGTATATATCATTTTCCAGTGGCATACGTATAGAACTGTGATAAACAGTGACTATTTTAATGTCGTTTCAGTGATAATATACTGACTGAAACAGTGAATATCACTGACAGCGAATGCCAGACTGCAGTTTTGAGAATTGAAATTCACTGTCTTTCAGTGATATTTACTCTTTGAATCAGTATATATTATCAATGAAATAAATAATCACTATTTGATCATTATTGAATTCAATAAATAGACACTGTTTATCACCGTTCCCTAAGTATGTTACTGGAAAATGATATAAACTGGAAATCAGTGATGATTCCACCGATTCACTTTTAGAGAGTATATGACAGTACATTGCTAAAAGCGGTTTCGTTTAAATTGCAGTCGAATATCAAATGCGTGAGGATGCATACGAGAAGATAAAAATTTCGCAGGGTCAGTGTATCGCGCCGGGGCCATGCCAATCAATAGCCGAAAATAAATTGATAGTTTGTCGAGCGACGGGACGTCCCCTAATATTTCCGAATGTAATCGAGGGGGTGTGCATGCTCTTCGAGAACCCGGGAAAAAAAAGGAAAAATACGGAACGACGAGGGAGGCGGAGGGGGTGGTAGTGGAGAACGAATGAAGAAAGAGAACGAGGAGAAAAAAAAACGAAAAAAAAAACTTCGACAATGCAGTTATGGGTGCACGAAGAGAGGGAGGACGAGTGGACGACGTGTTCCGGGGGTGTTTTATTGGCTGGTTTCCGTGGGGTGGAAATTTCGTATAATGCACGAGATGTTTGCGTGGACTCTTTTAACCCTCTATCCCCTCGCGACGGCGAGCTATCGCTAAGCCACTCTTAGTATCGGTCCATCGATACGTAAAACTACAACCGGTGAATTGCGTGTCCGAACGAGATGTCCGTGAAGTTCCGTCTGTTTGAATTTTATATATTTTCGGTTTAATCAGTGACATAACACTGGTTAATTAATTTTTATCTTATGTCTTTTTATCGTAAAAATATTATTCTATTTAAACCTTTTTTTTTAGAATAACTAGATATATGCATTATTATCTGCTTTGTTGTGTTTTAAGTTACACTGAGAGAAAAAAATAATTGCAATTACCATAATATACAGCCATTTGCGGCGCCAACTATATGTATATTTAGTAGAACTATATAAATATAATTATTATTACTAAAATTTTAGGAGTACTATAACTATAAAATGATACTTTTAACAATAATTAGTTTATCATGCAATTACAGTTGCAAATATCATTTTTCTCTCAATGTATATGTTCAACAATATTCTGCTTTGATATTCCCGTAGCTGTCTTTTCTCACGCTTCGCAAGTGAACATTGGCGATTTGGATAGAAAAGCAGCAAAAGACCCTAAGAACGCAGAGTTGAGATGATCTTCGATAACCCTTGAAATCAGCCAAATCAAGTTTCACCGGACCGCCATTGTTCCGATTGCCGTCGGAACCGGAAGCGACGTTCCCTTTTTATCATTTTTTTTTTAAAGGCCCACGCTCGCGGCACGTGCCCCGGCATTATGCCGGGGTGCTAAGTCGCGTGACCGGAAGAAGCATCCTAATTGGTATCGATTCCGCGTCAACGTTGCTCTTTTTCCACCCTCCCCGTCACGCCGTTCAGCAGCCTTCGTTTACGCTACTGCATTTTGCATATTTCGATATATCATCGTCGAGATTGTGCTATTTTATAATACTATCTTGAATTTCGAATTTCAAAACATTTGTTACGTGACAAACAGCTATTTTACTATAAAATATATTACATCCAAATATTGCTATAAACTTCCGTTACATGTTTTCCAGTCACGTAAGACGCCTATATACAAACTTAAAAAGAAGACAATCGTGAAACACGTATCCGATATTCCAAAATACCGTCGAGAGAACAAGTCATCGACGTTAACTTATTTCGGGGGTTCGACGTGTTTTTGTTCAGAGCCGAGCTGAAAGGCGCATTTAGTACTCGTTCGATCGGCATTCTCTCGGTATGTCCGACGGAAATCTGAATGTCCGTCCGCGCCGAGGGGTGGCAGAAGTTTGGCCCCGAAACTTTTTCAATCCCCGAAAACTTTCCTGCCGCGGGCAGTTTATTGTGCTGTTAGGAGTTTTCAAAGGAGTCGGACGGGATGTCGAACGGTCGAATCGTCGACCGTCGTTTGGCGTTGCTCGAGAGCGCGCTGTCGTGCAAACACTGCCGTAGGATGGATCTCGATCCCGTCGCGCATCCCGAGATTGTGTGTAAATTCCCCGGGATTAGAGACGTAGAAAAATACGCGCAGTTCGTACGCTGACAGCAAGCAATTTGGGACCAGGGTGATTTACCGGTGGCCGGCTTTTAATATATCGCAATCTGAAACGGCAACGTTAAAGAAATATGCAGCGCAACAAAAACCCGCGGACACACGAAGACGAAATATGTGACGCACGTTATAATAACTATATAAGATAATTAAAACACAGAGTCGCGTTTTGCGAATTTTTTTTAGCGATTTATTTCGCGTTAAAGAGGATTCGATTCGACGTGCAACAAAAACAAAGCGCATTTCGCGAAAGCTATTTTGTTTCCTGGAATGTCCGTTTTACCTCCCCTGAGGCTGCAGACAGTAGAGAATACTATACTTCTTTCTCGCGTGATCTTCGATTTAAACGTTCTCGAAAGATGTTGCAGAAAAACGTCATCACAACATGTTTGGCTATTTTGCGGGGGACAAACAACGAATTGCCTTTCTTTCGAGTTTCCTTTTGTCGCAATTCACC